GAAGAAAATAATCAAGAACCTGAAGAAGAGAAAGGTCTCATGTCTCGTTGCTGGTGTTTAATTCTAGAACGCTTTGCGAGAAAACGTGATACTGAGCCACATCGGCTAAGGGTTACAAAAGTTATTATTTCATTGATTTATTACATGGTGCTCATACTTTACTTGACCTATTCGTTATGTGGTCTGATTGATAATCCTCCATATGAGGTTAGATACGTGCAATCTGAGCCATATATTAACCCTCCAAGTAAGAGAAAAAGTTTATGAAATTATCATTTTCTATAATTAATTTCTATTCTTTATTAAATGCTATTCAATAGTCATCTATTTTGCTTCCGCATTTAGCTTTGATATGACCTGCGCTTTTCGTAGAAATGACCGTAAGTATGGCGAATAATTATAATACACAATATTTCTTATTTTACTTATTGCTCTCAATATGATTTTAGTTCCAGATTACAATTGCGCCGAGTATATGGATATAAAGCCTATTAATGATTATGTGTTTTCTATCCACTTCAATGCAACGGAGTTCGCAGCCTTCTCTTTAACTAAGATAAAGAATAACCCAGACGAGACAAAGAATATCTCTGTAGACATGATTTACGAAATCGACTTCACTTTTGAATTTAGCGATCCATCACAGGAGTGGGATTTGGATTATCGTACTCTTATAGACGTGGAAATTTACGATCCCGGTATTGAATATTTAAATTAAAACAATAACAATACTTAGTAAAATAGAAAATAATAATTTATTTATTAGATTTTTTCATCGATGGCGAACCTAGCGGATTCAAATGCAAAGGAAACGGACAGCACGACGAGATGTTCCTTAGACAAAAACAACGGACTAGATATTATCTTTCGCCAAATCAAGTAAAAAAAGAAATTTTAATGAATTTTTTATGTTTCAACACTTTATGTTAATAACCAACTTTTTCGTACAGAATAATTTTATCGGATTTAAAAGATATAAAAGTGAAAGCCTCGTTCGGGATATTCAAACTACATTAGGCCTTTCCCATATGTGTGAATCTCATTTTATTGAGACAACATTCCGTAAATATATTTATTTCTCTTAAGATTGATTCAATGTTTTATGAAGAAGTTTGCTATCATTGATCATTCTAATTATAGAAACCGCCAATATTTTCGGAAATAAAACCCTCCCCGGGAACAACACTTTTTCGTTGTTGCAAATAAAGTTATTAACTTATGAAGTACCAATTATCAGACAACACAGGTATTTTTATTAGAAACATTTATATTTTATTGAAAATCTTACTCATTCTTAATTCTTCCAATGCGATTTTTTCAAATTAATTTTGAAGTACTAAATCGGTAAGCTTGTCTCTTGAATTGTGATTTTTTTATTATTTCTTAGCTTACTTTTCTTTATTAGGTTTTGAGCGCAATAAGTGATTTTGGTGGTGCTCTTAATATTTGTCAGGCTGTATTTTGTTTAATGTTTGGTATGTCTGATTTAATTGATGATTCTATATTCTAGGATTCAAGAATTGTCTAATTTATTTATCGATTTTCAAAAATAAAAGGTGCGGCACTAATAAATCCATGGGGTTTTTGTCAAAAAAATGTTTGGTATATAAAAACTATCACGCAGCAGAAGCTCGCCAAAAATTTTAGTGGTTACGCAGATAAGAATCAAAAAGATTCCTCACCTGACGCACTTAACACTCGTTTGATCCGGTTGGAGAAGTTATTATCCGAATATATTATCGAAGATGACTATCTTAAAAAAGCAACTAGTAACTCCCGCTGAAACCTATCGTTACAAGACACTCTCGTAATAGTGAAGAATGGCTTATAGAGAAGATTTTTCTGATACATATCTATCACTAACAAATCTTCACTTGATATGAGGTTTATATTAAATTCTTAATACATAGATATAGTCAATAAAAAATCTCGCTATAGTGAAGACAATCACGTGAATACTTTCGACCAATTAGATTGCAAGTACATGATAATATTACCAATTTAGTTTATAAGATGTTAAACTACATGTATAATGATCAAAAATAATCAACTTTGCTTACAAACCTTTACTAATGAATGGTCTTTGTAGAATAATAAAAATTTGGTTTACATGTCATGTACAAGTTCTATATAAATTTTCAGAATAATTCAAATAAAACTGACTGTTTAGAATCTTTGAAAGATCATGTACATTTTTCAAAAACTTTAAATGAAAGATTGATTACAATACCCAGTTTTAACTAGTCAGATTTATAATAAAAAATATTTATTAAATTTTATTTTAGTTATATACAAATATTTAGCAATCATCAATCTTAAATTTATGAAATATTATACAAAAAATTAATATAATAAATTTAGAAACCTTTAAAAATATTATTTAGATTAAATAAGTTATCTTAATTTGAATTAAATAGCTTTTATCTTGAATTGTGTTCTAAAGAAAATATTCTTGTTATATTTTGCTATAATACAGATTCTTTTTGTGTTATATTACCCTACCCATCGAACCTGGCAATGTGTGATGAAGAAAAAAGCATTTTAAGAAAACATAAATATCTCGGCATACATGAACCAGATTAACTGATTTTGATATCATTAGAATGGTCTTAGGTGCAGGGATATCGCATCTCAAAACAACGCTCAAAATTCTGCGAAAAAGATATTTGCAAAAAATGATTTGAGTGTTTTTTTTAAGATGTGATACCTCTACATCTAGCAAATCAAATTTATGTTATTAGATGCGACTTTACTAGACATTTCATGCAGAGATATTGTCACTTTTTAAAATGATGTTTTTTCTAGTATTTCAAATTCTCCATTATGATGAGACAAAAACGCAGATCTTTAGCAGTGCGTCAGTGAACGCAAAAATAAAAGTACATGTATTGATTAACTAATCTGAAGGGGATGGGATGTTTTTAATTTTTATAAAGTTTATTTAATATAAATATTGACAAAATAACAGAATGTGAAGGTTCATTGCAGATTATAGCGTGGCGGTGTACATGTACAGTATTTAACAATCTGGAAATGGCAATTTTCTATAGTGTAGATCTTCTACTTCATTCAGATCCAAATTTGGGTAATGCGAACATCCTCCACGAAAATAACAAATGTCCTTAAATTGGAGGCATAAATCTAGAACATTTAAACAGCAAACGGAAAGCTACCGTATAATTGACGTACACGTGTCCTTGTAGTCTTAGTCAGGCCGTGGTGGCTAGAGTGTAGATCTTAATAGCATGAACACAGAAATAAACAAGAATAAAGAATTAATCTTTGAAGAGGCAATGTTTTTAAATTTTATAAAGTTTATTTAAATATAAATATTGACAAAAATAAAAGAATTTGAAGTTCCATCGCGGAAATAATTGACGGATACTTTTTGCAGGCAGTGTATTGGATTCTATAAATGTAAAAATACAAGTATTCGCACCGTGAATGTAAGTTTTCGTAGCCACGAATTCTTTTAACGGGGCGGGGCAAAAGGCTAAAATGTAAACATCAACAAATAAAATTGGCTGTTAACAAATTTTTTTATAAATTAGTGCTTTTGTTTTTCCATTTCGAATTGACATCAAAATTTAACAATAATCATAACAAAGAATTAATTTAAAATTAAATAAATAAAATACCTCTAACCTCAATCAACATGCTCACAAAAGTTTCTGTCGTCTTCATAGCAACTATCTTCTCTCTAATATCAATCGCATTCCCACAAGAAACTGGATTTATTGCAAACTTTGTTCCTGATGCGAGTCAAGGACTAAAAGTTGCAGGGCAAATTGTCTACGATCTTTTGTCAAATGGTCTTGTTTCTGTAAGAGGTCAACTCAACTCGGGTTTCGATCAAAGTTCCAATAAATCCGATTATGAATTCTTCTTGGATGATCATCGATATGACGATTATCTTAATTATACAATTCTAAACGGGGGTACCTCGGCTTTCGCCAGTTATATTCCAGCCGAGGTGATCGGCTTCAATGATAAAAAGAAACGCGGAGACGTTTTAAATAAACGTCCAGTATCAAAAATTAATTATAATGACCAAACGATTGGTAAATGCATTTGTCAAGATTTACATCTACCAACTAATTAACTACATGTATATGTATGCTTAAAAGAAAATTATTAATAATTGAACAGAAGAAATAAAACAAGTACTATTTATTAATTAATATAACAATAATATATAATATATTTAAGCTAGAATAATATTTGATATCGTAAATTTTACTCCTTTATAGATCGTTCATCTGTTACGATCTCGTACACATCCATCCAAAAGTTATAAATATCTTCAACATTAGTGTATGATTTTCCACTTACTTCTGGGCTCATATAAGGAAGTACTCCGTAAATTTCTTAATTTTTATGTCCGTTGGAACGGCAAGTCCAAAAACCGCAATGAAAACATCAATATGCAATAATTTCCCAGGGTGAAAGTCACTATTCACAAGTTCCTTTTCGTAAAATTCCATTAGAGCATAGATAATATATAGGATTTTTTTCCCAAATTAATTCGTCATAGTTGGAACTAATATATTTGCGAAATATCGCAATTAATATAATAGTCAAACTTGAAATTAATTTTTTTTTGGATAATCCATTACTATCGAGTATTTATTCGTAGCTGGATTTTTTGTTAATCTATAATAACTTATTCCAAATAACCATCATCATACTTTTAGAGCAGTCCGAACCTATTGTTGAATGATTTAATTTTATTAAAAAGTCTTTTGGCTCACACATTAAAATTGTAGAATTTTAGAATTTGCTTTCACGTAATTTCAACACAACTTTGTTTAAATTTATTTCCTTCATAATCTCACTTGCAAGATATCATTCATCGCAACGATCGTTTGCTTGATTACGAGTGCGCATTCTCTTCAATTTTTATCTTATGTGTCAAAGATAAATTAGTAATGAATGAAAGAAATCAATAAGATAGCGATAACGAATACCTTCGTAAGATACATATAGATTGGCTCTTGTTGATTTAGCATCGATATCTTTGCAAAACAAGTATTTTTAATATATTGATATCTATATTGATTTTCTGCATTTTTAAAAATAGTGAATTTGCCTTCTAAGTAAACATTCGACTAGGTGTAAATTGTATTTGAGTGGAATGGTCGTTTTTTATTTATATTTGTAGCGATCCTTTTTAACTTTTTCACCTCCTCGTCAAATCCTTTTCATTTCGGATAACACAATCTTTTGATCTCTCCTTCTGTTTTAGGATATTCTAAAGAACTGTAGTACTGAAAATGTAAGGAATTTAGTTCCAATCAATATCATTGTCATGATAGTAGAAGTCTCTCAGCAGTTGGTCTATTTTCTGGAATAGGACTCAATAATAAATTTCCATCATCCGGGAACATTATTTGTAAATGTAGCAACTGAAAAATCACGTAATTCCGCGGTTCCCAATTTAGTACGCCTATCACTGTTGTGTAATGAAAAACGTAAAATATGTATGCTCGAAGCAGATCCTTACAAAAATTCCTACTTTGTAGCATCAATATAAATGTTGCTTCAATTACTTTGTGATATAACATTAGCACTGCCTTCTCTAATAATACAAAATTCTTATTTCATGATCTCAAGAATGTGATTATCAATCCATATCAAAATACATATTTAGCATTTGCACATAGTTCGACTTTTACTTTTATAATTACATTTGATTCTTTGTATGTAAGCATATTCATACTCATTTTGTGAGAATTCTTAAATAATTCATACTTTATACTTTCAGATCTCATGAAACTTGTGCCAGATTTTCATTTGTACTCTAGATAGTTATGTAGTTCTGAATTGTATTTAAAGAATTGTTATTCAAAGATCTGAAAATTAATGAATTGTATTTAAAGAATTGTTATTCAAAGATCTGAAAATTAAGCAATAACCATTGAAAGAAAATAAATATTAAATTTACTTTTAAAACTTATTACATTACTTTTATTTCTTTTATATTACTGGAACAAATCTTTAATTAAGTTTACAGATCGCCAAGCCATATTAACTGCACCATACGTCAAGAACTATCACATAATTTTCTATTTATCAAGTATAATATAAGATTATTAATTAGTTTCTATTTAGAATTTTTTTTCATTTTTATTTAATATATTTAGTTAATTATTTACTCTTTATTAATTTATAATTTATTATTATTATATTTATATTATAATAAATATCTTTCAAAAATATTATTATATAAGTTAATACATATTAATAATTCATGTACAGTCCCTGGTGAAAGTAATGGTGGTGAATGTTTTCATCTATATTTTAATAATGAAGTGTTCAAAACCCTAAAAATTTGTAAATATATTTTTTAGTATATTACAAACAAGATTCTCTAATAGCACAAAGCATGTTAGCTTAATAAAATTTTGCGGAATTTTGTGTCAATGTGATGGATTAGGTGTTTACATGAAATAACTTTGAAAAAATTATTTAAACATATTTTTAATAAGTAATTTTGAAAATATTTTTGTAAAAATATATTTTAAGATATAAAGAATATATTTATAAGTTTAAAAAAATTTTTATTATATATTTATTTTATAAATACCAGTTAAAAAAAGGCTTTATTTTGATGAACTTTATTTTGATGAATTTTATAAGAAATTATAGTAAAATTTAGTTTTACTATATTTTACTATAATTTCTTATAAAGCCTTTTTTTAACTGGTATTTATAAAATAAATATCTAATAAAAATTTTTTTAAACTTATAAATATATTTTTTATATCTTAAAATATATTTTTACAAAATATCTTCAAAATTACTTATTAAAAATATTTTTAAATAATTTTTTTCAAAGTTATTTCATGTAAACACCTAATCCACCATATTTGACGCAGAATTCCGCAAAATTTTATTAAGCTAACATGCCTTGCGCTATTAGAGAATCTTGTTCGTAATATACTAAAGAATATATTTACAAATTTTCGTAGGTTTTGAACGCTTCATTGTTAAAATATAAGCGAAAACGTTCACCGCTATTACTTTCGCCAGGGACTGTATTTTTAATTATTTATTTAAAGATACTCTTTTTATTTTGTAATACAATAACTATTAATTAATCAATAAAATAAATATAAGTTTATAAAATTGTATTGAACCTATTTTTTAATTATTTATTTAAAGATACTCTTTTTATTTTGTAATACAATAACTATTAATTAATCAATAAAATAAATATAAGTTTATAAAATTGTATTGAACCTATTTATTAATTTTTTATATGACTTTCTTATTAAAATATACTATATAATAAAAAGATTATAGTTATAATAAAATTTATAGCTTTTATTTATTTCTTTATACTTAATACAACTTTACTTCTTTATTTTAAAATATTAATGTATATTTTTTGATTAATATAGATTTTGTATTTATTCCTTTTATACTTAACAGAATTAATGATCTTATTTCTTTTATTTTAAAAAGTTAATATATTTTTTTAATTAATATAGGTTTTATATTTTGTTTTACCTTAAAATGAATTTATTTTTATTATTTAATTTAAAAAATTATTATTGTGTTAAATAAATTTTTTTAAAGAAAGATATATTATATTCTTTAATTATATAATCTTTATAAATTGATATAAGAAATTTATAATATCATACTCTTATAAACTATTTAGTTTAGCTTTTGCTTTTTATTAAATTTATAATTTTTTAGTTCAATTAGCTTCTTAATTATATATAATAATAATATATAATTAGTCTTGATAAGTCAGTTGACAGTAGTAGTCTATTTAAATTATATTCAATTAAATAATTTATTAATGTATTAATGTAATTATTTTATAAAATAATTTTGCAAATTAGCTTGTCTTTAACTCATCAATTACTTGAGCTATTTCCAAGCTTAAATTAATATTAATATAATTATTTATTATCAAATTTGTCATATTCATCTGATTAAAAAGTGATTGTATAATTATTTTATTAGTTTTTTTTGATTTTAATTAATATATCTTCTATTTAATATTCTTCAAAGATAATATCAGTTCTTTGCAAAATAATATACATAGTTACAAAATAACGCGCACTCCGATAAACTTGATAATTTTTTTGATATAAATTCGACCCCAGCACAATTTCGAACCCTTTTTTGTTGTTATCACCATACTTGAACCAGTTTCTAGTCAATTTTGTATTCATCCTATGAAATGATCTCAAGTTTAAACGCGATAGTATAAATTCGTTTTGTGCTCACGTTTACTTGTAAATAAAGTAAAAAAACTAGTATTGTCCAACAAAATCATACCTTGTGATATCAATATTGATACCGTCCGCAAAATTCATACAGAATTTCTTATATTATCAACATAAAAGTGTTCTTACTTTGCATTATAGTCGCTTTCTCCAATATTTACTAAAACAAATTGCAATTCAAAACTTTGATTATGTCGCACGTTATCCCTTGATCCATAGAAATAATACATGTATTTTACTTACGAAAACACACATTTTGTATTGTATTTTAAATTACATTAAATTTTATTATATTCTTTTTCATCTATACTCTTTTTTGTAAAAATTCTTACAAACTTTCATACTTTGTGCTTTAAACCCGCAAAATCTATACTGAATTATGATCTGTAATTTAGATAGTTGTATAATGACCAAATTATACATAAAGGATAGCTCTTGAAGATCTGAGAGACAGGCAATATGTTGTTTGAAGAAAAATAACTAAAAATAAAATTATTTTTAACTAAGTCTCAGCTTTTATTTCACGCCATAACGAAATTGATAACCTTTTTATTTTATGTTTAATAAAATCGAATCTTTTGTCACATAAAATTGACGCGCATGCTTTAATTTTTTTATTTGGTTATTTGATTTTGGTTATTTGTTTAGACTTATATTACTGTTTTCTGGAATAAATCGATGTTTTATTGTTTGAATTGAATATTATTTAAATTGTGTTAATAAGCCTCTGAAGTTATTTATTTTATTAATAATTAATTCTTTTATTTTGTTAATTGGAAAATTTTATCTTGTACTTTGCCTTTACGCTTGAATTTCTTTTGTTACAATAGCGCGACACGTAATTACATGTACATGTACA